AACTCAGCATTTCATCAAGAAGCCTATTCTTTGCTTTAAGAGACCAAGAGTGCACAATTATGGGTTTCTTTTCCCCTTTGCATAATAAAATTGGGAGATTATCATCAAGTTTCTATTCAGATTTTAGGAAGGCTTTTTTATTTTATTTTTAAAACTCATCTTTGTCTGTAAAAGCTCCCTGTTCAGGCCAGCATGTGGCAATGATTACTGCTGTAAAGGCTTCGATGGAGATGTGCTCTATTTCATTCTCAATGAGGGTTGATGGCATTTTGAGAGGCTCAGAATATCCTTTGATTACTGTATAAAAAAGGCTGGGCAAGATGGCAGTGCAGCATGCACTAGGAGGGGGCTGCTGCTGCTCCCAGCATCGCTCATCAACTTTCTTTTGTGCCTTTCTCTTTTTTTTTTTTAATATTTTTTTTATTTTTTGTCTTCATGTCACAATCAAAAAATCACGGGTGTGTTGTGGTTTTGGTCTTATTCTCCATCCTTCCCCTGTTTTGGGATTTGAAGCTTGAGGTTTGTACAGAAAAGAAGATGCTGCTGGTCCTGTGCTTTGGACAGAGCAAGAGCAGTGCTGACCCCTGTGTCCCACAGGGAATTGTTGGAACAGGTGGGAAATGGCACCTCATCCCTCTCAAATCGTGGAGAATTGGCTCAGTGCTAAAAGGTGCCATTACTGTAAAGTGTCTTGGAGAGTGTATTAAAGAAGAGAGTGACAGAAAGCTACTCATGGGTGACAGGAAGGATGGGGGAGTCAAGGAGATTGGAAGGAAGAGATAGGCAGTGCCAGCTGTCTCTGTTCCTGCTCTGCTCTCTGTTTGACACTCAGATGCATTAACACAGACTGAAAGGCAAAGGGAAACCTTGCATCTCCATTCCTGTGTCATGCTTAGATCAAAGTGCAAATTGTGCCAGCTGAAATCCATTTGCCAGCCCCTCTGAAGGTAGGGTGGAGGATGGATGCAGGTTTCTGAGCTCCAGAGAACAGCTGGGTTTCCAAGCCTTTGGTGCTATGCAGCAGAATGCTTTTATTTCCAGTCTGGGTATCAGGCTCAAAGAGAGGAGGCTACAGAAAAGCATTTCCCCTACCTTCTCCTGTCAGTGTAGCTGGATACTGAGTTTTGTGCCCAAATTTGGCATCTCTTAAGAGATTTTTTTATTTGGTGGGCTTGTCATCTTTGACTTCTCTACTTGGTGAAGACTGAAAATATATGGTTTATATCTGCGATTTTCCAGCACAGGAAATACTCTGTTTCCCATGTATGTTGTTTCCCATGCCAAGATTTTGTTTGTGATGTATGCTATTTAGTGTTCACAATCCAGACTAAATTAATCCTAGAAGGCAGTTTGGGTGTCTCAATCCATATGGACTGCTCTAAAAGAGTTAACAAGTATGAAAACAGACAGTTATGAGAGAAAATGATGCAAGAGAAGGTGGTGATGATTTATCTTTAGCTGAGAAGTTGGTCAGTACTGAGCTGAACCCAGGGGTCAGTGAAACACCCAAACTGACTTTGGACAGATTCAGGGATGTCTTAAACCCCCCATTCTGCCAGGACATGGGCTGGCATACCTCAGCCTATGGGAGCTGAGTTACAGCCCAGGATGCCTGCAAATCCTATCTGTCCTCTGGCTAACAGCAACCAGGAAAATGTCAGATGTAGAAAAAGACTTAATCTTTGTTTCTTCTATTTATTTTTCCTTCTCTGATCTAAGCTGGATGTTTTGTGTCTCAATGGTGAAAGCAGCAGTTGTTGGAGACTGGAGCAAACTGATGCTTACACTGTTTCTATACTTGTGATCAACATTTAAGTTAAACATGTGAGATATTCTGAGAAAAGGTACTGCTGGAAAAGGGGCTGGGATGTCATCATTTCCCATAAAGATTCCCCAGTCCCCAACTTTATGGCCAGGGAATGCCAGACTTGTGTCAGGTGCTGTGAGCTGTAGGGATGGATATGCTTGAACCTTAACAGACCAGTGTCAAATCCTTTCTATTTATATTTCTATTTCTATGTGGCCTTTCTCTGAGCAGGGGCTGGGACCAGAAACCCCCAGGGGTCTGCAAAGCCTTCCAGCAATTACTGTACAAACAGCATTCCATTTCTATTGAACATTGCACAGTGATCTCATGGTTGTGTGCTTTTCCCTTTGGTTTTCATCTCAGAAATATTTGCTGTCTGGAGCAGGGCAGAGAAATCTGCAAATTCTATGGAAGCAGGACTGCAGCCAAGCAGAGGTGGCTGTTTTCTTGGAATGGTCTTTCCTATTTGAATTTCAGTTTGGATCAATTGTGAAATACCAGGCTGCTCCCTTGGAATTTGCTTGGGGGCTGGGGGGACACTCTGCATTGTGTTCTCTGCCTGCAGCCCCACCAGACCATCCCAAATATTATTCAGATCCACTCCCACAAATCATCTGTCCTTCCTGGAGAACTGCTGAGATTTTGGTGCTTGCAGCAAGGCCTCTTATCTTAGGATGCTTTGCTTTGGTGACTGGAGCCTGGATACTCCCTTAGTTTGAAATTAGGGCAGGAGTTTCTAGGGGAAGGAGGAGAGTGAGTTGTTTCTGGGGGCACACAGCCCAGGACTGATGAGTGGTACAAAGTGTTGCCAGTTTTTGCTCAAAGCAGGTAATTATTGAGTTGCCTGAGGCCTGGAGCACAGGATACCCCTGAACAGCATCCCAGTGGCAAGGCTGGAGCGTTTTACTCCTGCTTTGGTGCTTTTTTGTGAAGGAGAGGAGGAGGGAGCTGGGTTTATGCACTTTGAGCAGGATCAGAGTGGGCTCAAACATGTGTGTACATTCATGCTGGCAAAGCCTTGCTGAAGCAGAGAGAAATCTTTGTCCTGTGAGTTCAGCAGGCTGATTAAGAGCAAGGAACAGCAGTGATTGTGCAACCTTGTCAACATTTCTGTGGCTGCCCAGGAAAACCAGCTTGCAGCAGCAAGGGGGCTGGACCCAACAAGGCTTTGATTTCATTGCAGTTTAAGAGGCAGCCAGAAAATATTATGTCCCTGCTATAAAGGAGGAGATATTTACCTTCAGGAGATTTTAGAAGCAAGGAATTGGAAAATGAAATTAATGAATAGAAAGCAATAACACAAGCCAATATTCACAGAAATGTTATTTACCTCTCTTGGATCAGGGCTCATTTTACACAAATATTGGCTGTTATAACAGCTGATGTGTCATTGGTATTTTGTACCAGAGGGCCTTGGAAAAAGGCTTTAGGAGACATTTTCTTGGATTTCATTCTTTCTCCACCTTGTCATATTTTTGCCTAAAATTCAATCATGTGGTCTACAGAATGAAATCTTGGGCATTTCTGGGGAGGGCTGCCCATGGAGTGTGATGTAAAGGAGTGAGGCTCCTTCTGGAGTGTGATGAGTTCCCCTGTCAGTGGATGTGTGCACTTCCCAGCTAATGGGGATAGCTCACATTACAGCATCAAAAGGGAGCTGGGATTGATTTTTTTTTTTTTTGTATACAAGCTGAGACTTCTTAAGTAGGCTTATGTAGTAAGGTCCTCGAGCAACCAGCCACTAATGTCTATCTCAAAAAGGCAGAGATGATAATTCCAGTGAGACTTTTAGAATCAGAAATCCAAAATTCGAGAGCTTTTCAGTAAAGCAACACCTGCTGATTTTTTCAAGATAGTATTTAAAATGCAAAACCAACACCACACCACACCACCCCCCTCTACCAAAAATTCAACCAAGTAAATTGCATTTCACATACAAAACGTTTTACCTGGTAAAATCCAAATATATTTTCTTCTCACAGTGTGATTCATGTCCTCACTAATAAGAGTTGTTTGAGGGTAATCTTCGAAGCCTACAAAATTATGACCTCACATTGCAATTACCAGTCAATTTAAGCACACTTAAACATTTATATTAAATTTTTAATATTAAATTTTCAAACCAACTTAATGGCACCACAGTTGTTTTCTTTGCCTCCTGTTCTAATGGAGCAGTGGCCATAGGGCATCAGCTCATGGGGAAAAACAGTAAAGAAGTAAAAAAAACTGCAGACAGCAGTGGTGGAGAGCCATGTGTAAGGTTCTATGGTAAGGGGTGTTGCAAGACAAATATGTTTAGTACAGCACTATAGGGGAGGAATTAAAAAACCACAATTATAGTGATTTTAGTTGGCAGGCCACTGACTGGAAAGGCTCTTGTCAGCAAAAATAGCAATAAACACATTAATGGCAGTTCATTGTCTGCTGCCATCTTGGGACAGGGCTGTGCTAAGAGGGCCTGTTACTGTGGTGTTATAGTTGCAGAGGATGTATTTAAATATTAGTCACAGCCAAGAAGAGCTAAAGATAGGACAGTGGCTTTAGCCTTTTGTGCTGAGGGTGGAGCAGAGCTCACAGACATACAATGCCATCCTGGAACAGTATTTTTTTAAGCTGCTAATCTTCTAAACTTTTACTGGCAGAGGGGTATAGCCCTGTGTACAGAAGTCAAGCTTATTGGCAAAAGACTTGCTTTTCTAAGACACACAGCTTGTTGTTGGGGGTGAGGCATTTGCCCTGACTGAATCTGAATTTTGGGTCCAGTTAGGAAGCCTGACTGATGTGCATGTTTCTCCAAATTAGCTCATACAGCTCATGTGACTTGTTTCATTCATGTGGCCTCTGGTTATGTATCCATCATCCATTTTTCTTTCCTATTAGAGTGAAATTGGACACAGCCCTCCTCCTGCCTACACCCCTATGTCAGGAGTAAGTATTTCACATTCAGCCTTTATTCTTCAGGCTTACCTTCTTTCTTCACTATTTTTTCTTTTCTTTTTCAAACTCCTTTTTCCTGCATAAATGACTCAAAACCAGGTAATGAAGCGTTGATATAAGGAATCAAATAGTTAAGATCTGTGGATTCATGTGCAGACTCTAGGGAGCCACATCCATAACTCTGACAAACTTTTCTGAAACAGCATTTAGGTGAAAGGCTTGGATGGATGTGTACATCTTTCCTTCCTGTCTGTAGGTCATGATGTTGAAAGTTTCTTGCATGTCTGTACTGACAAGCAAAATGGTAGGTTGAGTTAAACCATTGAGCTGAGGTGCCAATACAAACACAGTCCACCAGCCTGAAATGCACTCCCTGATGGAATTACACATGGTGTGGGTGACCCCATGATTCCCACCACAGGACACACTCAAAGTATCACCCCAGGATAAACAGAGAGTGGTTTCCTCCAAGTCAGGAGGAGATTTCCCAAACATGAGGTTTAAAGGGCTCTGATCAGAAATCATGGGAGGCTGCCAGAGTAAGAGAAGAGAAAACACCACCTTCACCTCCTGCAGCTGTGTGTGTCCAGCCTCCACGTGCCTGGTAGAAGATAAGTTTTCCTGCCCCATTTCTATTCCTTGAGCACTGCTGGGCAGATGGATGCTTTGTGGAAGCCTAGAAGCTCAGGATGGGCAGGGCAGGCACAGAAGGCTCAGCCATGACTTGCTGTTGAAGCTTCTCCCCTTGAGATCCTCCTTTCCCATGCTGTGTGTCCTTTGTTCCAACAGAACCAGTTTGTGTACCGGGATGGTGGCTACACTGCCGAGGTGCCGATGCCATACAGGGCTCCAGGCTGCATCATTCCTGAAGCCCCAGCTGCCCAAGGGGCCACAGCAGAGATCTTTGAAGACTCTTGCTGCAATGGCACGATGCAGAAACAGGTGGCAACCCTGGCAAAGGAGGACAGCAGCACCCAGAGGTACAGCGCTGACCCCACCGTCTTCATTCCCGAGCGCGTCGTGCGGGGAGAGCTGGATGAGGATGGGTACATGACACCGATGAGAGACAAACCTAAAACAGGTAAAGTGCTGCCTTTCCAGAGAGGCTCCTGGTCTAGCCTGGCTGCATTTCTTCTCTTTTTACATCACAGCTTTTCATCAAAAATGACTTTATTTAGTTACCTGTCAGGTTGAACCATTCTGACTAGGATAATATTCCTTTACATGGGGATTTGGTTTTCTCTCCTTAATTTTCTGCTTTGAAATACTCAAATGTGCCAGTATGTCAAAGCTGGTAAGTCCCCCTTTCACTTTTTATTTTTTAAGAAATAACAAGAGGAATGAAAAAAAAGCCAAGCCCCCTTCTTAGCCAAACACAAATCTTCGGTTATTTCCAAGGAAATATCTTCAGCCAGCCACAGTCCCAACTTTGCTTTGTTTATTGATCTTCTTATTCTTGGCATTGTGCTTGGTAAATGTCATGTTGAACCTATCACAGAACTGATACACACAGCTGGCATTTTATACCCAAGAGAAGTCTAGGATTGAAAGAACAAGATGTGCTTTAAAGAGAGCATCACTGCAAGGGGAAGATTGCCTAAATCTGTGCCTGCTCAGTGTGCTGCACTTCCCAGTTTGCCCTCATTCATTTCTTCCTCTCTAAATAATGATAACAGTCATTTAGATGTAAGGGGATGTGTCATTATTAATTTGCTTCCAAAGCTTTGCATTAGCTTTAAAGAAATTAATAAATGCAAATGTAAATTATGTCACAACTGTGTTTGCTAAGAATTTGGAAGCCATTTGTCCTTTGTGTTCCGTGATGGAGGAATGGAGGAGCCCTAGGGCTTGACCCATGGCAGTAGCAGTTGTGGGAGTCTCCTTTGCAGTGATTTACTTTCAGTGTGAGCCCACATTTATGTACCCATACAGGTGCACCCTGGGGATCCTCCTGCAGAGTTCTGCAGGAGCCACCTGAGCCCTCAGGGATGTGGAAGCAGCAGCTCCTTCCTGACCCCCTGGGCACAGACACAGGGTTGTCGTGGTGTGGCCACACACTGCGTGTTCCATGCCAGCTGCAGGGTTCAAACCAAAGCACTGCTTGGCTCTCATCACTAAAAAAAACGCATGTCCCCACTATTCAGCTCATATTCGGTGACAGCTGTGGGCTCAAAACTATTCACTGGGTCTTGAAGTTTTGCCTTTAATAGTTTTGGCCCCATTCTGGATGAAACCAGGTGACCCCTTGTACCAGGACTCTCTGTGGAGGTGTGTGCAGAGCCCTTGAGCAGCACCATGCTGCTGGAATTGGGGTGTTAATCCACAGCAAGTGATTTGAGGCAACTGTAGCCTGCTCCAAGTCCCATTTTGCAGCTGATCTAAGGCTCTCTTGTTCCCTTTCCAGGGCTCATTTGTACAACCTTTTTTTCATAATGCTTCAAGGCCCTTTGTCCTTCAGGGATGGAAGGTTTTTAATCAGGCAAATTGTTCTGTTAGAAATGAAGCTGTCTTAAAAGTTAGCCCTTGGGGATAGGCTTTGTGCAGAGAGCCTAACTAAGATTCCTATAGAGTTTTCTGGATGGAAGGACTGCAGAGCAGAGGGTTTGCTAATAGGTCCAAGGTTGCAGAGGCAGATGTTGCTCAGTGTGTTTGGGTCTGTAGATCATACACTGAGAGGAAGTCCAAGGGAGCACATGGGCTGTGGCTCAGCAAGAGCTGTAGCTTAGTTGGCCAGTGTATTTGATAAAAATATCACAATATTGAAATAAGTTTTGATATTTCTAAGTGAAAGGATGTCTTGGAGTTGGTTGCAGATTGGGTTGGGAGCCAGGAAGGAAGGAAGGAAAGAGACTGAAAGAAGGAGTGTACAACCTGGCCTTTCCCGCTTTTGGCAGATGTGGGGTTTGGATGCCCAGAGAAGCCAGGTGGTACCAGCAAAGGCCAGTGGCAGAGCTGCTGTCAGTCTTCCAAGGTGTCTGTTTTAACCCACATTGTGTGGAAAACTTCATTTTTCACAAGTGTGTGTTCAATGTAGTTGGCTCCTGATCCCATCTGGAGTTCTTGGAATGGCTGAGGTGGAGGAGGGTGCTCTAGTCCAAGTGCTGGTACACGGATGGATTACTGTTGGAATGTTGGGGGACACAAGACAGACTTTGGACCTGGTTAACATAAGAGATTTGATAACAGGATGCCTTAGCAAAAGCAAACAGAACTTTGAAAATTAGACCTAGATTGCAAGAAATCAAACAGGTTTCCCAGAAAAAGAAAATCCCATTAAACTCTGCAAGAAAGAGATGTTGTTATATGCATAAGTTTATGTATGTGATTTTTAACCTAATCATTGTAGTACACATTACTAGTCTCCCTAAAATAGTATTTAAGTGCTTGTATCCCACAATAAAGTCAGATCCTGATCACCAAGTCAGTCTCCCCATCTCTCTCCATCGCTGACAGATTACTACCACTCTAGGCTGACTTATTTTTAATCTTTCCTCAGATTACCTGAACCCAGTGGAAGAGAACCCATTTGTTTCCCGCCGGAAGAACGGAGATCTCCAAGCTGTGGACAACCCAGAGTACCACAGTGCTCCCAACGGGCAGCCCAAAGCAGAGGACGAGTACGTGAACGAGCCCTTGTACCTCAACACCTTCGCCAACACCTTGGAAAACGCCGAGTACCTGAAGAACAATTTGCCAGAGAAAGCCAAGAAGGCCTTTGACAACCCAGACTACTGGAACCACAGCCTGCCCCCACGGAGCACCCTCCAGCACCCGGACTACCTGCAAGAGTACAGCACAAAATACTTTTACAAACAGAACGGACGGATCCGGCCCATAGTGGCAGAGAATCCTGAATACCTCTCTGAGTTCTCCCTGAAGCCTGGCACTGTGCTGCCCCCGCCGCCCTACAGACACCGGAACACCGTGGTGTAGTGGCTGTGCTCTCACTCAAGTGGAAAGGCAACCCCTTCTAGCTGCCTCACTCTCACTCCCCCTTTCTCCCTGCCCCTGCCCCTCCTCCCTCCCTCCCTGCCTCCCTCTCTTTCTCCCATGAGCTTCCTCTTCTTGCCAGTTCACTCATTTTTGATATTTCTAAGTGAAAGGATGTCTTGGAGTTGGTTGCAGATTGGGTTGGGAGCCTGGAAGGAAGGAAGGAAAGTGACTGAAAAAAGGAGTGTACAACCTGGCCTTTCCCACTTTCGGCGGACGCGGGGGTTGGATGCCCAGAGAAGCCAGGTGGTACCAGCAAAGGCCAGTGGCAGTGCTGCTGTCGAGCTTGTTCTCAGTGATTCAACTGTAGGGAAAGCCACAGAAAGGCTGATTCTTTCAGCAGGAACTGATGAGAGTCTGTACAGCATTCCTGGAAATCTCCATGCAATTTCCATCAGGGTGAAAAATGGACAATTTTTATATCCTGTGTGATAGTGTAGTAATTGAGATTGAGAATCCAATTTCTTTCTCTAACACTTTCTATCCCAGCAACTGAAAATGGCTAACATAGCTTTTCAAAAACATTCAGATCTTCATTGTGGCTTTCCAAGAAATGATGATGTGACTCCCACATACAGCTAAGCCCCTCTTCTGAGCCACACCGTGATTTTGTGCCAATTCCCAGCCACAGAGACTCCTGCTCAGAACTGGTCCCTGACATGACCATTTTTGTATGTGTGCCAACACAACAATCACTCTAAACACAAATTACCTTTCAGAAGAGAGTAACAAAACCACACCTCCAATATGTTCATTTGAAGCTAAAAACCAGGCCAAGAAATGAAGATTTGTATGCCAAAAGTTTTGCTTTCCTGTTTTATACCTGCTGACTATAAACACTTCAAAAGATTGTCACTAATTCTTCCCTCTTTTTCTTCTTCATGGTCATGAAGGGAGCTGGGGATGCTGTCAGGCAACACTGAGGACAAGACAGAGAACTGAAGAGTTTGATTTTCTGTGGGGTGGGGTGGGAAGGGTCCTTTAAACTGGAAGACAGACACTGGACTGGAGAAAACGCACATAGCGGTTCACTGGAAAGTTAGTTTGCACTTAACCTCTGATTTTATTTGAACTGTTTTCTGGATTTTGAATGAAGCAATATGGAAGTGACCAGCAAAATACAAAATAATAATTTTAAATTAAAAAAGAAATATAAATTATTTGTAAAGGATGACTGTGGAAATGCCAAAATGAAGCAAATCAAGTCTTTGGAACAATGTCTGCCATTCCTGAGAGGCCGATGCAGTGACTGCTTCAGAGAATACAGTGAGAGAGCAGCCAGCTCTTGCTGCTGCTCTATGAAGGACAGCAGAGCAAGCCCTGGGAAGGATCAGGGGAGGCAAATGTCCTGCTCTGCCTTGCAGCACAGTACAGAATACCATTTTTCTAAAAGGAGGATTACTCTGGCACAGAAGACAGTGCATATGAGGTTTGAGAAGTCATAATGTGCATGATTTGCAGAGCTTTCTGTCAAAAATGTAAATAAGTATGAGTCAGTCTCCTTGCGCTTAGTTCTGCTTTTATCAACCTCACTTTTTAGGTAGACACCCCCTGACCTGCTCCTCTTTGGAAATGTCTTTCAAACCAGAGTTCTGGACGTTTTTAGTGATCTGGGGCAGATGGAACTGGGAAAGGAGACACCAAGGCTTGCTCCTGGCACACCAACACTGTGTGTGTGAGAGCATTTGTGAGCCTAATTCCCACCAAACATCTTAAGGAAGCTTTGGAGATCTGCCTGTCTCTATCCATCAAGGCTTTTAAAGGGAAGAAACAATACCTGGTGGATGGCAATCTTGGGTGATGCAACAATATTTCAGTTTATGCACTTCATCTCTGTTAGGGCTGAGATCTTTAGGGTGACCTGACCTGGCAACAAAACCAGCAACAACCAGGGGTCTGGAAATGGCATCACCCTCCTCTAAATTCCTGCCATTTCAACACCTTGCCACCTTTAATCTTAGGGAAGCAGAGGAAGGGAGTAAGAAACAAGCAATAGCTACCTGAAGCTTAGTGGGTCAGCTTGACAAAGGTGTGAAGAGATGTTAAACCTGGCCTGGTTGTTTCCCTTGTAGATGGTAAACAAACTGTGATCACAAGGCTGGTTCAGCTGTTGGTGCACCAGGTGTGCCCAGGTGTGCATCAAGTACAAAGCTGAAGGTTCTGAAAGCAGCAACAACAGGTACAGATCTTTGAGCTGGTAAAGGAGATCTTGGGTCATGTGGTAACAAGGTGGTTTGGGGTGATATGACCACTGCCATGGCATAGATGGACACAATCTGCACTGAGGGACCTCTTCTGGTGCCTCTGGTAGCTCCTCACCACCTTAGGGGACAGGGGCACACACTGGGCAGGGGCTGGGGCACAGGGGGTGGCACAAGGCCCTGGGTGGCTGCTCCAGGGAAGGTTTGCCCACAGCAGTGCTCACAGGGTGTCTCTGCCAGGCTGGGACAATGCTGCCAAGCTGCCTGGGACAGAGAGCAGCACAGCCACATGGGTGTCCTGTTTCAGCAGGACCTTAGGTAGGTGGAGAAAGGTTGATTTGTCCCCGAACAGGTCTTGTAACAGAGTAACTCCTGATGGAGAAAAAAATATAAAAAGCTGGCTCAGCTCACATGTTTGAATTGAGAGCTGAACTCAGAGGCTGCTGGGGCAGAGGCAGGCACACCTCCAGAGCCAGGCACAGGGATGGAGCTGCTCACACAAGGTGAGGCCTGTTTGTTCCTCTGGTAATGAAGTAGTGCTCATGTTAGAAACAAGCCCATGGAGTAATCCAAATGTAAATACTGGTGGGGTTTAACAATTTAACGTTTTATTTCTTACAAGGCTTGAATTATTTATTAATTTTATTTGTTGACTGTGGGTGTGCTATAATATATTAAGTAGCATGGAAATGCAGAGGTTCCTGCAGGTGGGGCAGCAGGAAAGCTGGAAGAGGAGCTTGGGCTCTGCCTGGCAGCCAGGATGAGCCATGCAGTGCCATGCTAGTGGGGTCTGGGATGGCAGAGGCTTAATGAACACAGTGATTCGGGTGGAGGGGAGAGCTCCACACACTGCAGCTTCTCAATTAATTTTTTTTTAAATTATTTTCTGAGCTTCTGGTTTGAGTTGCAGTGGCCAAAACTGGCCCTTGAGTTCCATGCTGTGCCAGTCACCCTTTGCCCAACAGATGGGCCTGTGTGGTGCTGAGGCTGCTGGTGAACGAACCCAGAGAGCAGCAGATATCTGAACCCTGCCCCTTTCCTCTGCAAGAGAAGTTCTGAGCTTAGCTGGCAGGTTTGCAACAGATGGTTTAATGATGGCTAAAGAAAAAAAGAAAGGGAAACTGAGAGCAGAACTTTTTGGCTGCTTTGATTCCAGCAGACACTCCTGGCTGTCCCTAACTCACATCTTTGCCTTACTGGGTATTGCTGCTGGCTTGGGGAAAGAACTTGGGCAAGTGCACATGGCAAAACCATGGCAAGCATTCAGCTGGGATTCATAGGGCATGAAAGATGAGGGCCATGGTCTTTAATGCACAATGACAGGTTTGGGGGAAAAGCACATAAATCCACACACAAACTGTGTTTTGTCAGCACAAAGCAGCAGGTGAGGATGTCAACAGAAGTACTTGGGCTGTGATTCACTCTCTAGTGCTACAGAAGTACCTGGTTATGTTTTGTGGGTTTTAGAATGCAGTCTCCTGTTTAAAATGTTCTGGTTCCTCCTGTCATGGCCTGTGTCACAGGAGAGCAGTGAGCAACTTTTCAAGGGCACATTTTTACCTGAGTGTGGATCAGCCATTATCCAAGGCACAAAGCAACCTGCTAAAGGAAAGAGAAAAACATTTATTATTTTCTCCTGATCTCTTTCAGTGTAACTTGTCCTAGCTGTTATTACCTACCTGAGGGTTATTGAGAGCAGATGCTGGGGCCAATTGACTCACTGTAACATAATTGGCTGAAACCAACTCCTTTTACATTTACTTCTTCAGATTTTTTCAGATTTTTCTTTTTCTGCAAAACAACCAGGAGGGATTTTTTTACATGGCCATTGGCTCAGATGTAGCAGAGTATTTACAACTATATTTCAAACAGGTTGTCTTTCTCAGGTAGCAAGAGATGGAAATAAATCTGCAGTAGGAGCCACCATGTAGGTCTGTTTGAGGTACCCTGAAATCCTTTTCTGTGTACAAAGAAATGCTGTATTACCCCTGGATGTACCACTTACTTGGTAGGAAATGTGCTTCTTGACTGCAAGGCTCATCTGCAATGATCTGCCACCTGTTCCCACTAAAGATCTCACCCTCAGCCACCACCAATGTCAGCCCAGAAGGAAGGAAAGTGGCAGCTCTGGAAGAACAGCTCGCCCTGACCCTGTGGATCCACTCTTTCTAAAATGTCCAAAAATCATGTTTCCATGTTAGTTCTAATATTATTTTAGCATAATTTTGTGTGGAATAGTGGTTTGTTCCAATGGCAGGCTCCTTGCTCTTGAGGAAATCACAGGCAGGTGAAGTTGAGGTTGGTGGTGGTGCTGCAGTGATGGTTGGGATCTGCCTGTAGTTTTGGACAATGCAGAGCACTTTTTAGGGAACTTTGTGGTTGTTCAGGTCTGACTGTTGGTGGTGGGACTCGGTGGGCTTGAGCTGTAGCCAGTCTCATCTCCTAACCAGAGCCAGAGGGACACCTTCTGCCCGGGGTGTCCTCCAGCTGGGGACTGTGGCAGCAATACAGGAAAAGGTGTGAGGGGGATCATCCCAATAGGGAACTAGAGGAGTCAAAGCTGGGTAGTTTTTCCCCCCTTTTTTTAAATTTCATTTGAGAAGTGAGCTTTGTGGACCTTGGCAGAGAGGGGTTTCAAGGGGAGTTTTGTAAGGTGTTAGGCAGTGTGAGTAGTTCTGTCCCAGTTCTTCTCCCCTCACCAATAAAAAAGCCATGAAATCACCCTCCAGCAGTGTTGTGGATGAGCCCTTCACCTGCTGTGGAGGTGCATCCTGGCCAGCACCCTCAGGCTGCTGGCTCAGGTGTGACCAGGGCCACAGGTACAGGACC